ATTTTTGTTAATTGAAATAAATCTAAAATAAAATATTAATATGAGAAGAAAACTTATTTCAGTTAGCTGTCAAGGCAACATTTCTAATTTTTGTTTACTAAAATTACTAACTGGGAATAAATAAAAACTAAAACTGAAATAAAACTAAAATTGAGATAAAAAAAAAATTTATTAAACCTAAATAGCAATATAAAAAAAAAAAGACAAACAAAATCACAAAAATAAAACTGAAAAAGTTTGAAAACTGAAAATATAAAAGTAAAATCTAATTCAAACTATTTATAAGAACTATAATAGTAAAAAAAAAAATACTAAAACAACTTTTGCTATGGGGATCTGACTGGTATCTAAGCTGTTGCTAGGCGGTTGCTTTGTTTTTCTAGGTTCTTGCTAGGGTTTAGGTCATTGCTAAACAGACAGATAATGCGGTGACTTGGTGACTTGGCGCATTAATATTAAATTCAGTTGTGCAGTCACATGAGTGCATATTTCAAGTATTTTACAAATCAGTATCATCCAATCAGAATTCAGAATCAAAACTATCCATTTTGTAATAAAAACACTTACCACTTCTTAACTTTGATCACATTTATACTAAAAGCTTTATGAAACATTATTCTCAGGTGGTTCTGGGAAGGATTATATTATCAGATTTTGGAGCATGATTTCAACTGTAGACATAAGCAGTTTAATAGAGCTGCTGTCAGGGTGGAGTGTCCTGTTCTCAGAACATCCTGTTTCACATTATATATAGATGACATCTATAAGTCTGAGAGAGGGAGGGTTTGGAGAAATGACTGGGAGGATGAGGTGGTCCTGCTGTTAACACACCGATACAAACCCACTCAGAGCTGAGCGCTAATATACAGGCAGACAGAGCCAACATGCTGGCACACGCTCACGCCGTATCCCACCGCAAAACAGCTGCATCAGCGTGATGAACGTTCCTCGGACACAACTTCTCTGTGTGATCTTTTTGATTTAAAAAATGTTCTCTTATGCCTGTACCAAGGCAGTATCCAGTATTACTATGGTATCCTTTGATGTGATGGAATTGCACTGTAACTAGCATGGCAAATGAATGAAAATGATAAAAAAAAAATTGTACCATGCTAAATTCTACGTAACAAAGTATTACAGTGAAACTGAAATGCTTACAAATTTTGATGTAATTATAAATTTTACCTTTGACGCCTTCCTCCATGCACATTTTAACACTGTCAGTGTGACTATAGCAGCCCATAGCTCAGTGTGTTAATGTTGCAGCACTTCTGCAGAAAACCTGTTTAAAAATAATTTTGTGTTTGAGTGAGCGGTCAAACACGCTTTCCACAGATGGCAGTATAAGTCTCTTCATAATTCATATGCAAACGGAAGATGTCAGGGGGAACGTATCTGAAAGATGTGCATGGGGGGAAAAGAAGTGGGCGTCAAATGCTTTCACCTGTCAGAGAGCTTCTGAGACTTTACGGGCCCGTTCCACACACACAGCTTGCAAGTTCACTGAGCTTTTTTGCAAATTAGCTGCAATTGCCATTCTTTTTTTTTTTCTTCAAAAACGAAATTTATTTGCATTTATATGAATAAAAGAATGCAAGTACAGCGACCAAATAAATGTCAAAAGGTTAACAATGAAAGCTGCCAATTTAACATGCAGGTAATTATAACCAAAATAATGCATTAAAAGCATTAATGCATTTAATCATGCGCCATGACTCGCAAGACTTGGTGCTTGTTACTAAAGATAAATGATTCAAATAAAAATGTAGACTGAATGCATACTAACTACCTGAACTATTTTTTTTTAAATAAAACAATTTAGAAGTATGAAATGTATTGTCATACTTTGATGTCTTGTCTATGCTTTTTAGAATTTTTGAATCTATTTATTATTTTAGCCCAATTTTACAGACACAAAATGAGAACAGCACAAAGCAAGCATTTGTAAACTGTTTTACACTATATTGAAACTCTTTCAGTAATGCAGGAACCCTAAACTATTTTTTATTTAATTTTATTTAATTTAATTTAATTTAATTTAATTTTTCATTTATTTATTTGATTGTTTATTTATTTGATTTACAGTTATTAATTTAATTAATGAATAAATAGTTTAATAAATTAAGTAACTTGTATAATTTAATATGATTATAATTATTATAATTATTTTAATAAAAAATGGATTGGCAACCCTAGTTTCAAAATAGTATACAAAAGCTGTTTTTTTTTGTGCTATTCTCATTTTTTGGATGTAAAACTTGGCTAAAATAATGTTTAATTAGAATATACAATACTTTTTATTTTCTGATATGTATGGATTTTCAAAGTACAACAAGGTATTATGTGTTATTAAATGTATTATTTTATATGATTTATTAAATCACTTCAGTCTCTGAAGCCTGTAATCTTGTTACTACTCTGGCACATCTTTATTACCCCCCGACTTCACATTTTCTCACTGGCTTCTACATATTCACTCATTAGGTTGGACATTGTGTGATGTTCCTTATTGCTGTCTCTGCAGAATGAAAATGCTCGCCTTTCATGAACTGTTTTTGGAACTCTATGGCTGGAGGATACGCCCGCAATAACTCTCCCGCTACGTCGCTCTCTCTCTCTCTCTCTCTCTCTCTCTGTCTTTCTCTACATGAGTCTACACTTCAGAGAATTCCTCAAAAACTAAATTCTACACATTTTGAAGAAATCTGCAGTCAATATATGAAGTCTAAAGTACTTCATACGCACTGTATGTTTGTAAATGAAAATCTGAAACTCTTCACAAAGCTGTTAAAGGAATATTCTGGGTTAAAATTGCTTTTGATTAACACACTAAAAATGTTAGACTCGTCCCACTCTTTAAAAAAAGCAAATAATAAAATTAATTGACAGAAATCGATTTGCAACTGAAGTTAATGGTTCAGTTATTCCATCTCTGTTAAATGTGTTGTTTTAGGGCTTTTTTTTTTTTTTTTGTCATAAGTCCGATACGGGATTATATAGTTAACTAAAACTAAAAACATTACAAATATGCTAATTTATTTTAAAATTCATTACTTGAAATAAAATAAAATATAAAAAATTTATTATATTTCAGAGATTTGCCAAAACATTTATCATTTTTTATTTAATCTAACTAAAGCTATAAATAAACTAAAACTAATAAATAAAAATTAATTTAAAAACTATTTAGACATTAAAAAACTAATAAAAATTACAAAAACACAGCAACATGAATAAAACTTTAACTCAAATTAAAGTGAAAATGCAAAATATAAAAATAAAATCTAATTGAAAATATTAGTAAAAACTATAATGGTATATCAATGTTATTAATGATAATGATTAATGATATTAAATTATACTTGCTTGAATTTATTATATGGTATCTAATTTAAAATACCTACACTGTAAAAAATGACTGTGAATTTAACGGTAAAAGACTGTAAAAATGCTACAGTAAAAACCTGTTAAATGGTTAACGGTAAATTCCCCTACTATATACGGTGAAAAACTGTATTGGACATTACATGTATTGGGCATTAATTTTACGGTAGTATACCGTTTTTGGAAGTGGAAAAGACGGTATAATTTACAGTGAATAACCGTAAATTGACATTCCCAGAATTCTATGCGTTACATTTCAAATTTGATGTTTTTTTGTTGAAATAACTATGTTTCTTCTTAGTTTTTCTTATCAGTTTTGTATGGAAATTTTATGGAATTATTTTACAGTGTAGTATAAAATTAAAACAGGATAATTGCTGTATAATATTTCAGATTTGGTATAAAGGAGTTTATACGGATGCATTTTTGTGTCAAGATAAACGTAGCATTTTTACAGTCTTTTACCGTTAAATTCACGTTCATTTTTTGCAGTGTAGAAAGTCAATATTACAATGTTACATTTTTCAAAGTATAGTTGTCATCCACCAAAGTACAGGCTTCTGACATGAAACCAACAATATTATTATAAATTCATCTTAATGTCAATATGAAAGATATTACGAAAGTAAAAAAGGGTTTGTGAATGCTATGCATTTCCAAATAAAACAATATGTGGTGTATGACTTCATTTTATTTGATGAAAGTTGATTAGTTTTACTTTGGAATAGCATGAACTATACAGAAAAAGACTTGTCTTGCGTTAAGAAAAGTAAATTGAGTTCATTTTGATTTCATGTTGACGTAGGTTTCGTTATAGTTCAAGCCTGGTTTTTGTATAAATGTCCTGCGTTCTCTTAATGTCTTGACTTCTGAACATGTATACGAGGAGATGAAGCCTGGAATGAGCACAGACAGCTGAGGGATTCTGGGAAGTGTACCATATAACGGAGTGATGATGCATTGTGCATTCTATAGTGGATAGACATGAGAAGTGTGCAGAAGTAAGTCAGTACAGTATGTAGGTTACTTGAGAGTGGGAAATGCAAAGGCCTGTATGGCTTGAGGGGATCTAGCACGTGGGCCGTGGCATCTGACTGCTAAATGAATCTAGGGGCTTGCCAGCATGTTGATGCCACAAGCACACAGCAGATAAATTTGCCAGACTTTAAATATTACATCAAAAACCAGCGTTTTTCTATTTCAGGCCTCTCCTAAAAGTATATTGATTGGAGAGTAATCGTCAAGCTTTTACGCGGATGGAAAGTGTTCTTATAAATGTGATTTCGGTTTGCTTGTCTAGTCGGTGTGTTTTTTTGTATATCGCTCGGGGTGCCTGGATTATTAATTGTATTTAGGTTTTTGCTGGTTCCTTTTCGTGAACATTTTCAGTTCTGGTCCTTCTGGTCAGTTCTGATCTTTTTTACTCTTTAGGAGAAGCTCATTTTTCTGCATTTCAGATTTTCTGCATTGTCGTCTTGGCAAACAACTGTATGAATTATGAATTGAAATCAGTTGTAAACACGTACAATGAAGACTAAACTGTCATGGCAGATTACAGCGAAATTAAATATTTAACTGCATTTTATAACCCTTCTTTTCTTGATGTTGTATTGTAGATTGAAAAGATCATGAGTCTAATTGGCAGCATCGAGATCTCCAAGGAGCATCACCCTGCATCGGAAGGTAAATATAAGATGTCAACAGAATGACTTTGCAAACTGTGTAATGTATGGATTTTAAAGTAATTATGCAGTTGGTTACCTAAATTGATTTTCAAATTTAGGGTTAGGGATTTACCTAAATTTTACAATCTTACCACTCAAAAGCAAAAATTACTTCATGTCATGCCAAACCTGAATGACCATCTTTTTATCTTTCTATATTTAGCTTTTATTTTTATATTTTCACTTTTGATGCTCAAGTTTTACTCATTTTGTTATGTGCTTTAGTTTTAAGAATATATATATATATATATATAGAAAAATCAATAATTTTGACCCATACAATGTATTTTTGGCTATTGCTACAGATATACCCCAGCGACTTAAGACTGCTTTTGTGCTCCAGGGTCACATTTAGCTTTATTTTTTTTTTTGTTTTAGTACATAAACTTACTTTTTTCTGTTAGTTGCCAAGTGAACATTTTTGTTAAAGTTTAATATTTATATTTTATTGTATTTCAGCTATATTTCAAACAATTAAACCATTTTTGATAGTTTTAGTTTTAGTAAATTAGGACAGAATTTTAGTTCAAACTAACTTCCTACCATGGAACTCATCTCTAACCATTTGAAATAAACACATGAAATATAATTCTACAGGGTTTGCTGATGTGTTTTTTTTGTTTGTTTGTTTGTTTTTGAGAATGTTTTGTATGGCAGAATTTTAGGATATCAAAGCTATATAACCTATAAAACAATGCTACTAAAGTTGCTGAGAAAGCAAGCGATGCGTTTTTGTGTTGCATGTTTTTTTCTTTCCTTAAAGGAAACAAATGTGTCTTTTTGCAAATATAAAATAAATATTAATACATTTATTATTAAATATTATTTTATTTTTATTTTAGATTGTTTTATTTGTATTACTGTTATAATATTTTAAATATTATTTTATATTAAATATTCTGATACTATTCTGATACCATTGCTGTACCATGGTAATGCCAAAGTACAATGGCATTTACATGATCGAATGTACTTTAAAAATACTATGATACTATAGTTAGTACAATTCCTGGAGGGCTGGAGCCCTGCAGAGTTTAGATTCAACCCTAATTAAACACACCTGATCCAACTATTTAAGTTTTCAGGCTTATTTGAAAACTACATGGTGTGTGTGTGTGTGTTGGAGCAGGGTTGGCACAAAACTCTGCAGGGCTCCGGCCCTCCAGGAACTGAGTTTGACACCCCTACTATAGTACATCAAAAGAATGGTATTATCATGGTACACGCCCACAAGACCAAGATATTGTTATTTTGCCATGGTACAAGTAAAAAAACGCTGAAATTGCTTAAATGATTAGCTCCTTTCTGCTAAATTAAAGTTGCTGAGAAAGACATTGTAATTATTGCATTATTTTGTGTTGCATTTTTTTTTCTTTCCTTAAAAGAGGAAACAAATGTGTCTTTGAAGGAAAAAGTATAGATCTTTAGAGGCAAATGAAAGTCTCGTTAAAGGCAAAAACATTATAAGATTAATTGTTATTTTAATAAACTGACAGCCTGATTATAAATAATCATATTAATATGTCTAAACAACTAATCCAACTAATAGTCTAGCCTCTGTGACAGACCACAAAGCTTTGCTTTGGCTGAATCATCCCTCGGGCCAGAACTATTTCACCAGCGTCTTTAACAACCAGCGGTTTTCTTTCTCAAGCACATGCTCTCACTTTTCACCCCAATTTGGTCTGTGTCTGATATTTTTGTACCTGATATTTTGACACAGACACCCTCTGGTACACAATGGGCACCGAGGGCCTACTTTAAAAAGATGAGATCACGATCCATTTACAGTGGCCATCGCAATGATACTCAGTAATTAAGACTTGATATTTTTTTCTTCTTGAGTGGAGCCTCCCAATGTAGTTGCTATATATGACGAGAGAGCACTATATTTTAATGGACTTTTCTGGGAGAGATACAATTATTTAGAAATTGTAAAGCAGAGGATCACTTCAAAGGAACAGACAGCACTATTGTTCTGTGAAACATTGTCCTTGAAATTCTCACGGGAGTTGAGTTGTTTGCTGTTGTTTGATAAAAATGCCAGTGTTTTCTGAAATATGTGATTTTGTCACACCTCAAATTCTTAAATTCTCTCTCTCTCTCTCTCTCTCTCTCTCTCTATATATATATATATATATATATATACACGTTGTCTTTACAAGTGAAAGTTCAGACTACCATATTACATTCTGATACCATCGATGTACCATGGTACTGCCAGAGTACTTTCTTATATCATGTACCATGACATTTACATGTTACTCCAAGGTGCTTCAAAGAATAGTACATCAAAATTGGTTTTTATGTATAAGACCAAAGTACTGCTATTGGTAGCGCCATGGTACAAGTTAACAAAAATGCTGGCATTGCTAAAATTATTGTCTTCTTTTTGCTAAATTGCTGGTGTTTTTCCTAATTTTGCTCATGTCGGATAAAGGTGTCTGCTTAATGAATTAATGTTAGTGTATTTAATATGTACTACTATGTTACATGTAAAAAAAAAAAAAAAAACATGGTACCAAATCCATGAGAAACCATGTTGAAATTCAGTATGGTGGCATTGCTAATATTGTTGGCTAAATTCTTAGTGTTCTTCTTTGTTTTGCTAGTTGTTTTGGATAAAAACATAAAATGCACCCCAATACTTATACCTCCTTCAGAAGTGAGCGTCCTTTTGAGCCTGCAGATGTTTGGATGCACTTTACATATCAAGCCTGATTCAGTGTCTGTATGTGAATAACGCCCTGGCAGGCTGACAGTTTGTATGATTCCCCTGCTCTCAGCTGCATGCAGATAATGCCCTACATGCATGCAGAAGCAGCACTCATGTGTGACACTGAATTAGACCACATCACGGTACGGAAGATGTGCACACGAGACACGAGCGCTACAGTTTGATCACGTCTGGAAAATCTGAATTCTGGCATTTGGACTTGGATGTGTCCATTATGAAGGTGGGCACAGGTGGGATTATGTTAAGTGCAGCATGTGCACGGTGCATTTCGCTGACTTAACGTTTAACGTGCAACCCCAGAACCAGCCCCCCTCTCCCCACCGGTACAGTGACACATTCACGAATTGAATTCCTCTGACGATTTACCGTGGTTTGTGGCTTGGCTACAATTTAATTTTTCATAGAGAGAGTGCAGAGGTTCTGGAAGCACTGACGTGCGGAGGGGATAGGGATGGGGTTGCGGGGTGCGGGGTTAGAGGAACCTGTATGGGTTTTTTTCCCTCGTTCTTCCTCCCCTGACTGATCCTGGCACAGTAGTGTGTGGTTTGGGTTTGTCTCTTGTTCCTTTTTCTGATGGTGTCCTTTCTGCACCAGCAAGATCAGAGAGCCTGCGTGCAATTTTAATCAGTACAGGGAGCGGGGAATAGATAGAGGGGCAGAGAGGGAGTGAGACAGAGAAAAGGGGGTGGGGGGATTGATCGCCACAGAGAGAGAGAGTGCGTGTATGTGAGACAGATAGAGAAAGAGAGGCATAAAGACGGGAGGGAGGGGGTTTGGGAATGAGCAGAGCGTATATGCCGTGCAGCGGGTCTCAGCATCAGACGGCATATGGCAGCCCTGCAGAGCTCTCGGAAAGGACTCTGTCAATGAGAACTGGGGTAAAAAGCAAGTCAAAGAGGAAAGAAAGCCAGAAACAGTGAGTGGACATGATTCTCAGCTAAACTGAATGCATAAGAAGATGTCTTTAAGGTGATTACCAGCTGCAACCGATGCGCTACCAACGGCTTTCTAGAGGAGCACTATGTCATTTGGATGTTTTGCTTTGTGAGTGCTGAATGCAGCTGCTGCTGTGACTGAGCGTTCCCGGATCAGGGATGCAGCAATCCTTGCCCCCAAGCGCAAGACCCTTAGGAACGTCTACAAGAGGAACGGAGCGACCAGAGCAGGGGGCTGGGCTGCAACAAGAGGGACCGTGCCATCAACGGGGCTTTCTTATGGGGTTATCCATCCATTGTTGGAGCTCACCTTATTTCTGTTGGATCAAGGCTTGGCTGTACCTCGCTTTGATGGTGTGCTCCGTTCTGGTATGTTAGCCCGACGAGGTGCGTCTAAGCTCAGAGGGACCAGCAGTCTTTGGATTACCGTGACCAGAACGCTGCCTGATTGGGGCCCGAAGGACCCTTAGGAACGTTTTCTAGAAGAACAGAGTGACCAGTGCAAGGGGGCAGGGCTGCAAGAAGCGGGACCAAGCCATCAACAGGGTTTTCTTATCAGTTGTTCTCACTGGATCACGGCTTGTTTTTATCTTGTTTCGATGGTGCATTCCATTCTGGTATGTTAGCCCGGCGAGGTGCGTCTAAGCTCGGAAGGACCAGGAGTACTTGGATTACCGTGACCAGAACCCTACTTGATTACGGACTGCTTGGGGAAGTGGTCAAACCGGCTACTTTCTAATGGTGGGAGGGGTTCCTCATCAACAACTGGGAAATGGGAAAATGTGTCATGAAGATCTTTCAAAGGAGGAGCTGGCATCACACAAGGTTTCTGGTGGCATTGTGGTGGACTGTTGATCAATGAGTTGGACTGCTTGGTTTGAGGATCCATGACTCTGTTGAAGCAAACTCACTGACATTGGTATTCTTACTCTCCAACTGTTCTTAGGGCTTTACTAAAGGGTTTTGCTTCCAATTTCAAGGACAAGTCTGTTTTATCGAGCCTTGCATTGTAGAGGAATGTTTGTTTCATAGGGGCAAAGCAGGGGCACTTTCCTGCAACCTCCGGATCCATGACTCTGTTGAAGCAAACTCACTGACATTGGTATTCTTACTCTCCAACTGTTCTTAGGGCTTTACTAAAGGGTTTTGCTTCCAATTTCAAGGACAAGTCTGTTTTATCGAGCCTTGCATTGTAGAGGAATGTTTGTTTCATAGGGGCAAAGCAGGGGGCACTTTCCTGCAACCTCCTAGTAGCTTCTTGTAGATCTCGATATTTTGCTGCAAGCCAAAAGCTCTTGTTGAACTTTTATGATCATCCTGTCTGTGCAAAGTGCTGACATCCCTCTGCGTAATCATTTGACTCAGATACAGAAAAGCTGTGTAGACGTTGCTTTGTTTGTTTGCCTCTTCTTGAGGAGCAACACCAAATTGTCCCAATTAATTGACTCCTTTACTTGACACTCTTCTTTAAAGGACTACCTGTCAAGGTCTACCTCCATACCCCATCAGCCTTGGCTCTCATCTCCACTGCACTGAGGGCTTGTGGAGGAATCTCCATTACTAGTTTAGTCTGTATATCTGGGCCCTGCATCTAGCGGAGGCCCGTCGCTCAAGCCTGGACACTGCCTTGCTGTTGCTGCTGCTGCCCTCAGCTCTGCTGGCCAAAGATGATGTGGCAGTGCCACATCTCGGCCTCCGAGTGCCGCTGCTACAGGCTAAACGGTTTTTCGCTGCTCAAACGCCATCCTTTGTCGGCAGATGCAACTGGGGGCCGCGTGCTGGAGCAGTCGGTGGGGGAGTGGCTGGAACACGTGGGCTTTCCTCAGTACGAGAGCAAACTGGTGCTCAATGGCTTCGATGACCTGCGTTACATGGTGAGTGGCTTTTGTGTGTGGTGATTGATTGACACAGCAGGTTGGTCAGGGGATGTGGTGAGTTTCTATATATCCAATAAATGAGGGCCGAAGATATGATAAAAAGTACCTTTTTGTATCCTCAATGTAGATTCAATGCATAATGTGTTTTTTTTAATTCTGTGATATTTAATTGCTATAATGAAAAAAAAAATCCCAAATTGAAAAAAAAAAATTCACATTAAAAGTTTATTTTCAAAATAAAAGTGTAATTTCAGTGTTTCAGATTATGCCATTTCAAGCATTGTCTTGCATTTTGACATGCTATAAGCCATATAAAATTGTTTTAAACAGTATTTTTTTCTACAAATGTTGTATAATTACTGATGCATTTTTATGATCTAAGACTACATGGAATATTTGTTCATTTAAAACATTTAATTCAAAACATTGCAGGACTATCTAAGTGAACTGCAAAGCAAAACAGCTAAAAGGTGATGAAAATTGAACAATTAAATAATGAAAAAGAAATTGTTACTTAATTTCAGTCACAGTACCTAAAATATAATTGTGTATAAATAGATAAAGTCAATTGGATGAAAATGGATGGAATATTTAAAGTTGATTCATTCTGTAGATTCATAGTATTAAGGTATCAAGCTTTCACCAAAAATGTAATGTAATGTATTTTTCATTAGTTATTTAATCAAATGTATTTTTGTTATTTTATATGCATTTTAGTATTTTTAATTAGATAGATAGATAGATAGATAGATAGTATATGCATATATAAATGGTTTGAATATTCCTGCAAGGCACTGACTAAGTGTCTGGTGTTCACAAGTACTAGATGTACCTGAAACTGTTGTCTCAAACTACCCCTGCTGTCACTATCACGCAACACATGGTTGTTCTTGTAAACGTAATAAAGCAGAAACTAATGAGAATGTGCATACGTTCAGGGGAGTAACGTGATGGAAGATGAGGACCTTCACGAAATTGGCATCACCGACCCAGGCCACAGAAAAAAAATCCTTCATGCAGCAAAAAGCTTTCCAAAGGTAGTGTGTTTCAGTCCCTAAATAGTATTTGGACACTATGGCATTTATTTTTAAAAGGATAGCACACTTTTCAAGCACACATTTCATCCACTTCCACTTAAAATGACCTTGGGACTGGTTGGTTAAAAGTCATTGCAAATATATCTCAGAAAAGTGACGTTAGCTCTGAAAAAGATTTTGTTTGCACTTGGTTAGATATTTTGTCACACCACATTCAGACATTTTAAGTGTTATTTAAGTGTCCAAATGTCTCTCCTGGCTTCTCAGAGTGAATTATATTTGCTATGCTATGCAATTTATTTTGAGACAGCATTTTTCTCCTCTTTTAGGTGAAAGCTCTGGGGTGTGATGGCAGCACCTCTCTGTCCTCATGGCTGGAAACTCTGGGTCTTGGAGAGTATCTGCACAACTTCCTGTCTAGCGGCTACCGCACCCTGGACTGCGTGAAGAACCTGTGGGAGCTTGAAATTGTTAATGTAAATGTGCTTTTCATGCCGGTGTGATCTTTTGTGTGACGTGTGTACTGTGATCTGATGCATTGACAAATTTTCCCTATGCAGGTGTTGAAAATTGGCCTTCTTGGTCACAGAAAAAGAATCATAGCCTCAATAGCTGAGCGACCGTATGAGGAAGCACCTTCGAAATCCAAACGCTTTTCCCAACTCAAGGTAATAGACATAATTTAGCATCATTTAGGCCCAAAATGAATGTAAAATTTCAATGCATGATATTCATATATAACAATAAATATGCTTTACCTTGCTAATGTTTATCAGATTCAGGACCTGCTGTCTCAAAATACGTCACCGCTCAGTTATATGGATCCGTACACCAGTTCCATGGATATGTTGCTTCCGCTGGGAGAATCAGGCAGAAAGAGCAGAGCATTGGATCAGGATGGCAGTATCTCCCTTCGCTCCTTCGGTGAAAGATCACGCTCACATGTAAGCACCACTGTGCCTAAGATCACTGTGATTATAATGACTCCTTTCAAGTAATGAATCACATTGGAGTCATTCTGTGAGAAATGTTGCAAACCGTGTCTAAGCAGTTCTACATTACACAACAAAAAAAAATACATAGTTTTTATTAATATTTTGAATCAGTTTTTTTTTTTGATTTTCTGTTTTCGTTTTCATTTTAGATCAAGTTTTAGTAATTTTGTTTTGTTTTTGTTTAGTTTTTTTTTATGTCTATGTTTTTATTATTTGTATTTTTTTATTTTTTTTTCAAATTTTAGTTTTAGTTATTTTAGTACATCAAGGTAAACTAAATTAAAATGAGAAATGTTGCCTTGGCAACTAGCTGTGGTTTGCTTATTATTTAATATATTTTTATTGTTAATTTTTAACAAAAAATCTGTAAAAACTGTTTTTCTTTGAAGAAGCTTATTTCTGTTAAATGAAATGAAGATTTCAGTTCAGATCTAGTTTTAATACTAAAAGTGATTTTTTTTCATGAAACATATTTAGTAATATTTACTATTTATGTTTCCACATGCTCTCTAACAAATTAGTTAAAATGCTTATGAGGTCTTTGTGAAGAATTCATTCTTGTACATGTTTGAATGCTGATGTCTGTTACCACGGGGCACAGTAACACGTCTGAACACCACAGAACATGAATAATTCATAATTCATAATTCATAAATAATTTTTTTAATAATTGAAACTCATTATGTTTTTAAATTAATGGAGAAACAATAGTAAAATGCTGCAAAACACCATTAAATATAACTCCACTTTGAATATAAATATACAGTGTGTCTTTTTTTAGTTGGTGTGACTTTGACTCAGATTGCACTTGTTGTTTTCTGTTAGGACCGTCATGCAGATCGACATTCACGCCCAAGTATTCGCCCTTCCAGTCACTCTGCCACATATACCACAGTCTCCACCTGGCACCATCACCCTGATAAACTCATCACCGAGTCCTGCGTTTATGAGGCTAGAGTAAGTCTTTTCTTTGAGGATTTGTCAGTTTATACACTTCACAATAGGAATGGATTGCATCTGAATTAACAACATAAAGATGCAATATTTCAAAAGGAAAAGTTCACCCGTAAATGAATTTTTTTTTTAAATTTACGCATACTCAGGCCATCCAAGATGAGTTTGTTTCTTCATGAGAACAGATTTTGAGAATTTAGCATTACATCTCTTGCTCACAAATGGATGCTCTGCAGTGAATGGGTGCCATCAGAATGAGAGTTCAAACAGCTGATAAAAACATCACAATAATCCACAAGTAACTCCAGTTAACATCTTGTGAAGTGAAAAGCTGCATGTTTATGAGCAACAAATCCATAATTTTGTGATGTTTTTATCACAGGAATAAATGACATTTTACAATATATATTAAAATAGAAAAAAGTTATTTTGAATTGTAATAATATTTCATGAAATTGTAATTTATTTTTATTGTTTATATTTTATTTATATTTTACTATTCCTCACATGTAACATGATTTAAAAAAAAAAAAAAAAAAATCTACTAAGTGAATATAAATTTCTGACATTCTGACCAGTATTTAGGGTCTGTGATCATCCGAGACCTACGAGGAATTGAATCTACACAGGAGGCCTGCGCTAGAATAAGGGTACATATATATATATTAGTCAGTATGCTATTATTTAATGTCTTAAATTGTTTTGTGAAACAATTATGATTTCTTGCATTCTAATGTTTACCAGAAATCAAAGGATCACCGGAAAGGTCCCGTCATAATACTGAATATCACCTACAGAGGAGTCAAGTTTGTTGACGCGGCCACCAAGGTAGGAGCAACTGCCAATACATACTGTAACTTAAGTTAACATTGGTTTACCTTAGTGTAAACCAGGAGAATTGGACTGTTTCTCATTATTAATGGTGTTTGCTAAGCCATCACTATCAGAGTTAGAGATTTGTTCGACAGTAACCTGTCCTGCACTATTTGTGGCACAGACATGAATGATAGATTATGGTTATATATGGTTACATCGGGTTATGAATTAGTGAAGTGCTGATGTTTTTAGCGGATGTTTGAAAATTGTGATGGACTCACTCTATATTTTTGTACTTTTGCAGGTGATGGTTGCAGAGCATGAGATCCAGAACATCTCGTGTGCAGCCCAGGATCCGGATGACCTTTGCACATTTGCTTACATCACAAAAGATCTGAAGTCTGGTTACCACTTCTGCCATGTCTTCACTACAGTAGAAGTGGTGGGTGTTGTTTTTATCTGCTCTTTTATAGGGGAACCAATCAGGGTTGACAGAGAATAGGTTTGTTAAAGTCAATAGAAAACAACGTTTTCATGTTTAAAGTTGCCATGTTTTGCAGCTTTATTTTTTAATTAATTTTAATATTATTAACTTTTATATATTTTTCAATGATTTTATAATACTAAGGTGTCAAGGTGTTTTTCACCAAAATGTTATTGAGTTTAAAAAAAAAAAAAGTATTTAATGTAATTTTGTTATCTTATATGCATTTTACTAGATAGATAGATAGATATTTTATTGGGCTACTTCTCACTTGCAAGTTACTAAAATAATAAATGTGAATATGAATGTAAATTTCTGACAGAGTGAATTGAATATACACAAGATAATATTTAAATATAATATTTAATATTTAATTATTTTATTTTTATTTGTTTCTGACATATTGAATTGAATCTACACAGGATATTAATTTAATGTTTAATTAAATTTCTTTCTGATATTGAATTGAATCGACACAGGATATTAATGTAATTACTTTTTAACATTAAATCTACATAAGGTATCAATTACATATTTAATTTAAAGTTTCGTTTTTTAAAATGTATTGTTTGTTTCCGACATTGAATCTACACGGGATTTTAATTAAATTTTTAATTTATTAGAATTTTTTGCCCATCTCTCTGACCCTTATAATTGAACAGTGGACTCCTTTATGTAAATGAGCTCTATTGTGATTGGCTGTCCTCTTGACATTTGAAAATGAGCAGTGTTGCCAACTTAGCAATTTTGTTGCTAAATTTAGCAACTTTTCAGACTACCCTAGCAACTTTTTCTTCCAAAAGCACCTAGCAACAAATTTAGTAATTTTAAAAATTGATTTGGCAACCTTTAGCAACTTTTGATAAGTGACAATAAAAAGGCACACATTTTCCATCCAAATTACACAAAAAGAGGAAACCACAGATGCCTAGCAGTACACACATCACGTGAATTGAGTTAGCTGCTATTTGCAATTGTTCAATTTAATAATAATAATAATAATTGAATAATTTGATAATTGAACAATTGTTCATTTATGATACACTTTGTTAGTAGCTTGTACCTGCGATTGTTGATCAGTTAGTATACTGTAAGAAAAATGGAAAATCTTTCAGGACATTATCCATTATCCATCATCCATTGTAACCCTGTAACCCGAAAACACAATGCGTAATTTAAAATTTAAAATGCAGGTAAAAAAAAACCTGTGTAAAATCAATACAGAAACTTCCGTCATATGAAATAATTCAAAAATGTGTACGTTTTCAATAATTCAATGTATTTAAAAATACAGTTATTTATATTTTAATATTATATCATGCATATTATTTTACAAACAAAATTAACATATATAAAATATATTTTTTGCTGAGATCTGATGATGTGACAATTTTGCGTCGTGATTACGCAATGATGTCATTGCGCAATGACATCACAACGTCATTTAGCAACTTTTAGCAACAAATCGACCTTCCTTTAGCAACTTTCTCTGAAAATTAGTTGGCAACACTGAAAATGAGTAACACTTACAGGTTGCAGTTTGACTGTCAAGGTCCAATATAGTTTTCTCTGCCACTTTTTTTATAGCCTTACTGAAAGTGAACATACATATTATGTAATGACTCCGCTAATGGCTGTTCCCCGTACAGACACAGACCTATGAGATCATCCTGACGCTGGGACAGGCGTTTGAGGTAGCATATCAGATGGCTCTCCAGGCACAGAAGGCCCGTCGTCACAGTTCATATGCTGGTCCAGCCTCCGAAAACATAGAACCCAAGACCAACAGGCCCACCTCGCAGTCCCGCAACAGTATGCGCCGCTCCACCGTGAGTATGACTTCAGCAAATGATATGTGATATCATAGTATCATGAATATATTGTGTTCACATATTTTTGATTACTTCAGAAAACTGTTCTCCCACAGTTTGTAGAAAAGTAGCATTTACAGTATCAATTTATTGTACTGTTAAAAAAAATGAAGAAACACCAAGAATAGTTTTGAATATGTTTTTTATGTTAGAAGTGTAGGATGAAAAACAGGTAGTGAAACCATTTAAAATTCCCCTTCATGTTCAATTGTGATAAAGGATCATATGATTTCCATCTTTAAAAATGTGAATTATTTTATTAAGACATATATGATGGTGGGGTAAAAATGTACTGCATTGTAGGAATTACCAACATGATCCATGGAACAGGTTTAACTGTGTCAGAGAGGTGTCACCTCCAGTCCCAGTGTATTTTTCACGTTTTATATGTCTTTATTTTGTTGGCGTTAGCCTGTAATCTGTGTCTCTGTGCTTCTGCCCGGTCCTCCTTCCCAGGGTGCACCTGTGCTTGAATGCTGCTGCTGTTACTGTCACACGTGCTCCGCCCACCGTCCCTCCTACCTCCCGCTGCCCTCTATCAGCCCTGGAGTTCAGGTTCTGCTCTCTCTCTCTTCCTCACATTCTCCAGCACTCTTCTTCCTGCTACGTCTCTGGTTTTCTCTTCCCTGCCACTTATTCACTTTACTAATTTTCCTCTTACGTTTCCAGTTTTCACTGTTATCCACCTATTTTTCCCTCCCCCATATACATTTTTGGTTGACACTAGCAACAGGTCACAACTTTAAAGTGTGGTGTAAGTAAAATCGTTTAGAAGTTTAAAGGTTGCAATCATGTACAAAATTCAAGGATGAGCATATGTTGTGTCATTGGCAAATTCTTGTTTTGGCCTGAGGATGTGCTCGATATGTCAACAGAAGCAGGTTTGCTTAAACGAATCTCACAAACCCTGTCAAGAACATACCTGTCCAGATGATATTTCACTCCAGAGTCAAAAGGAAATAAGATATTGTATTTTGCATAAAAAAAATGATGCCTATTTTGTATTAAATTGTTTTGCATTGTGACATTATTTTGATGACAATTAAGAATTGAAAAAAATGGCAATATATTATTATGTGTGTGTGTATACACATTTTAAATCTGCTTATACTGTGTATATATATATATATTTTTTTTTAATAAATGTTAATTTATTTTAGTATTTATACTTCATTGTAGTGAATTTAATATTGCTTAATCCTTACAATAATACAGTAAAAAGTAAAACATCCGTACACATTATTATGGTAATTACAAATTTGTGCATAATTGTCTTGGAAATAATGTCACAGTGCAAAACTCTAATGGTTCTAAACATAAGCTTAATTTGAATGTATGCTAAATGTAATTTCTGAAGGGATTTTGGGGTGAAATGTGACCCAGACGTTTTCGGGAGATTTATATAATTATAGTTGTACTTCACAGATCACTACACAATTCTTCAATTGGGTTCACCATGCCTGGAGCAATGTCTTTCAAATTACTAGAAAACAATACTGGGCCTTTTCATAAAGTGAAGCGAAAAGTTTGTGTCGCCTAACAATGTCATTGAGAGGACTTTTCAAAAACAAAGTATTGCATTTTAAGCAATACTTAAAATGTTGTGTCAGCAACATTGGAGACAGCTATCCTACATTTACACTTTGTCAAATTCAAAACGTTCACTTTTTTGAAAACAACTTGAAATGACAGTATCAGGCGACCTTCTTAAAAGACGCCACTTTTAACGATTTTAAGATGAAGATTGTGTGCCAATTGAATTTAAGAATCCCCTTGTCTATTAACTTAGCAGATAGACTGAGCATCTGTTTGTGTATAAACGCCCAAACCAGCATCAGGTCCAGAGATCAGTGTTGTTGTCTACGGTGATTTCTACATGGTGTTCATCCTCAACGGCCATCTCCTCACTTGTGTGAAATGTGGGTTTCCGTTGGCTGCCATTCTCTCCTGCAGTCTCACTCCTCGCTCCTGCTTCTCCGGCAGATCGACCCTCTGGAGCCGGAAACGGACCTGCAGTCCCTGGGCAGCACCAGTTGGCTCTACGAACCACGGGAATCCTCCAGACCTTCGAGTAGCACCAAGTATGAGACCAGTTTTTCAAAAGAGTTGGGTCTGTCATCTCGATTCACATCCAGTGCTTCCTTTTGTCTTACCAGGCATCTGCAGCTCTGAGGCCCTCGGAAGAAATACTATGCCTGTTTAGAGCGTTTAAAGGTTGGGATTTGAAATGCAATACAGTTTTACTGGGAAGAGTAGAATACAGCCCCAAGAAAATGGAATAACCAAGACAACATTCCCATTCCAATTTCATTGACTTTTTATCTAATAAGGGAATCCATTTGGTTTCGTAAAGTTCTATATTTGTAACTTTACATTGTTAACATCACATAGTAAGTGTGTGTATAACCTCTATGTTCATTTTGTGATTGATGATTTGTTCTGTAAAATTAGTTACCTCTTAGATTTCCACTACAAAGACATTTGCAGAAAAATGAGACAGAATATTTTCGTAGACATAATAATGGTAAATGTTACTATATTAAATTGCAAAAGAATTCCCAAGGTCCCACAATTATCTTTAGAGAGAAGATAATGAAGCCAAGTATAGAAAAAGCACTAAGGCTAGAGGTAAAAAAAAAGAAAAGAAAAGAAGAAGCTCCAAACAGCCTTATGCATATTGTGACAATGTACTGAACGTTTGGAAAACCACTGTATGTTTGCACCACTTTGTTTATTCACGCAAAAAAAACAACAAAAAAAACATGTTATTTCAGTGTATTAGATGCTAGAAATCTGCTGTTTTACTTTGGCTAAATGGCACAAGTCGATTTTACATTATTGATGTTTTATGTTTTGTCTTGTTTCATGTTCCACGTTCACACTGCGGCTAAATGAGATTTTTTTTCACTCACAGTTTTAAAGGAGTAGCCTAACAACCACATTTTTAAACCAAATTCACACACGGAACATTTAATGGGACAGTCCACACAAAAATGAAAATTCTGTCATCATTCACTCACCCTCAAGTTGTTCCAAACCTGTATGATTTTCTTCTGTTGAACACAAAAGAATATATTTTGTTGCTAGTAGGCAGTGACGTCCACAGTATGGAAAAAATATACAATGGAAGTCAATGGCTACCGTCAACTGTTTGGTTGCTAACTGTCTTCAAAATATATATTATGTTCAACAGAAAAAAAGAAACACATACAGGTTTGGAACAAATTGAGAATGAGTAAATGTCGACAGAATTTTCATTTTTGGGTCTCTAATATTTTTTAGTCAAAAATAACGGCGTCAGTGTTTGTGGTTTATAACCACTGATCTATAATAGAGAACATTATATTATATTATATATATAATATAGATCAGTGTTTATAACCGCTGTTGCTATGGTGACACTTTCGCGAATCGCAACAGTCTCTGTATAACTGTCAGCCACTTTACGTTCAAGAAAGACTCCTGTATTTCGTACACATACAGAATGATGATTCAGGTGATTCATTTCTCATTTAAATGCTGTTGTTGTTTCCAAAACGTTGCAGTGAGAACATGGCTGTTTTTTTTTTTATCGTGTGGAAAGGACTGTTCGCTTTAGTTTGAATCTGGCTGTTAAGTTACTCAATTCTGAACTGCACTGTTTGTCTCTCATGTCCGGTTTTATGGAGTTATCTGTTAAAGTTGTGGTAATTTCTTTGTGACTGTGTTGCACATCCTCAACTTCCAGACATCACAATCATCCTCACTCATTAACAACCATAGTTTGCCATTGTTTTGTCCCATTTCCTAACTCAAAATTGCCAAAGAGGCTAACTCAAGATTCATTTCACTCGTGACATCACATCCTGTAATGCGAGCTTTGTGTATTTTTGACACTTTTCTGAAATGCTGTGTCACATTTTTAATATTTCCAATTGAATTAGCAGTCCTGTCTGGGCTCTGACAACTTGATTGGGATTTTAGAGCATTCCCATTTCTGAATTCCAATATATTTTTCCTTGTGTAGCTGACTCCACCTTTCAAGTTTCCGGACACCAAGGTGTGAATTGAAGGGGACTCAGGTGAAACTTTATGTGTGAGTCCAAATGAGGAAGAAATTGAGTGAGTATGAAAGAGAAATGCAAAATTAGCACTTAACTGCCGTACCAACCGGATTGTCCAAAGTTGCTCCTACTGCAAAAATAAACTTGAATACGGACATTACTCAGCCGATAAACTGATTTGCTGGTGATGTGGAAATGGACACAACACATCAAATATTAAAACATGAATCAGCATGATATTCAATTTGAATGAATCTCACAAAGCAATGTCATATTTCACCCCAAAATCAAAAGCAAGATTTTGGCATAAAGCAAATGAATCCTATTCTCAGGACTATCAAGATTGCTTGCGTTGTGGCATTATTTTCTAGACATATTTTTGCTGGAAATTCTGTAATGTGGGAAGAAATCATAATAATTACTGTATTAAAATCAGCATAAATTAAATGCAGTACAACCAAGATGTATACTTGTACTCTATATCATTTTCTCAGCATTTTGGGGTGTAATTTGCTTAATTGTCATGACAAATATGTCAATGCATGGTCCTGAAAATAGGTTTTATTTGCTTCTTATTTTGATTTTGGGGGTGAAATGTGAACATTTCTCAAGTTTTTCCGTGAGATTCACTCATTTATGTCTTTAAAAAGCAAGCAGAACTTTGTGGAATCTCTGGAAAACTGGACTTCTCTTTCCTGAGCACTGTGTGAACGTTTTAGTTTTCAATGTTTCCTCTTAAACTGTGGTTTATTTTCATACGGAGAAGGACTTTGCGAGTGACGTTAGCAGAATATACCTAAAAATAGTGCAAAACAAGAGTTTTGATCTTTTTGAACTCTGTACATTATAGAACTGCTGGTTAAAGATTTGTGGCATTTAAAACAAAATGGGTCCAAATGTGGACCTGAGATGGAAACATTGTGGTTGAGAAGAAGTACTTTCATGTAAATCAGCAAAAATATTTTTACCTGTATGTGAAGAATCCAGCTGAATTGAAATCGAATCAATGGTTGATGCAATGATCTTACTGTGAAAAAGCAAACATGTAGCATATTTAGGCTATTGATTTGCTATATGAAAACAAAGAGCTGAATTAAATGTCACTTTATGGCCACCTATCACAAAGCCTAGCTGTCTAGCATCACAACGAGTGTTTTATTTTTTATAATTAGCAGATTCTTTGACTTAATGGAAAAAAATGGGCATATATGCTGCAGTGGAACAGAATGATTTACAGAAAAGGAGAAAAACTGCAAACCCCTCAGGCAACACTTGTCCCTCGCTTCCTCTTTGAATTCACTTGAATTTCTTTTGAACTTCACATAATTTGAGCAAATATTGATAAACAATTTAACACCAATTACATTAGTATCCTCTTTTCTTCCTGGTTGGGAAGAGTATGGGGATGTCAGAAACATACCAGGATCAGGGCAGAATGCTTGCACTTGACAACACAAGATATCCACCTGCAAGAAAAAAAACACGTTATTCCTTGTAAATTATGTTAATAAAATAATTTAATCAATTCATTAAAATCAAATCTCAATTTATTGGTTGACCAATATGGTTTCTCAATGACTGACTGCTAGAAAGCAGGGTGACCGCTATAATGGCAATACCTAAATAATACAATTTTATGCAGCATACACAATTTCTGAATTTAAGTGTTAATATTATGTTAAGGCAAGACATTGCAGGTGAACATGGTAAAAAAAATTTTTTTTAATTTGATTTCACCATACTCCCAAACTGATTAATGTCAGTACATTCAGAAACTTGTTTTGAAAATTGTAAAGTCTAAATATGCAAATAAAGCATTAGCTAAAAGTCCAGTCCAGAAATCTGAACACCGAATGAAGTCAGGTTCAAAATTCTTGCTTCATTTTGTTCAGATTAAGGATATTTTTTTATAAAATAAAAACAAGAAAATACTGTCAAAAGACAGAAAAATCACCATGTTTTTAGGAATAGATGTTTTATAAATCAGGTTACTTATATAAGAACGAACCCCTTGGTTAAAAAAAAAAAAAACTTGATATAGATATGAATAAAACTGTAAAGTTTATGTAAGTGAGATGAAAACTCATTTTGAGACAACAGTCTTTTAAAAATGTGCACTGTAATTGAAATCTATAGAAAAATGTAAAATAAATAAACACATAAAGGTGTATTTTGCATGTTTTGAGTGGTTAGAGAGTCGGACTCGTAACCCAAAGGTTGTGGGTTCGAGTCTCGTACCGGCAGGGATTGTAGGTGGGGGGAGTGAATGTACAGCGACTGTAGTGGTATTGAAGGTACAGGTACCTTCAATACCACGACTCAGGTGCCCTTGAGCAAGGCACCGAACCCCCAACTGCTCCCCGGGCGCCGCAGCAAAAACAAATGGCTGCCCACTGCTCCGGGTGTGTGTTCACTGCTGTGTGTGTGCACTTTGGATGGGATAAATGCAGAGCACTAATTCTGAGTATGGGTCACCATACTTGGCCACATGTCACATAGAAGCAAAACTCAAAATCTCAAAAGACCAGTGCGTGAAAAAACAATGCTTTTTTCTGTAGTCAGAGTACACACAGAAATTGTTCATATGCTTTGTAACTGCCAAAGGGAGTGAACATTTCAGATCTCTGAAACGTACTAATATTTGGATGCGGTAGCAGAGATCCGCCAGGTGGAGGGGCTCCTGGGAACGGGGTGGGTGGGATTTTACCCTGCTGGAAAGCGGCCGCTGAAACACAGATAAAAACGACTTCACACTGGAACACTCATCTCATAAAAGATCAAGAAATGAGTCAAGACAGTTTATATCAAGTATAGATCTATGGAAGCCCGTATCCACTACAAAATAAAAAGGTAATTGTGATATTTCTTCACAATTTGGGACTCTCCCTTGCGATTCTGATATAAAAGTACGAATTTGTAGGATATACTAAGAATCCTTTCCTCAAAATTCTAAGGTCACATCTCTCAATTTTAACTTTCTCAGAATTGTGAGAAACTAAGTCCGAATTATAGAATAAAAAGTCAGAATTCTGAGTATATCTTGCAGTTCTGACTTCTTTGAATTCTGAATTGTGAAGAAAAGGTCACAATTACCTTTTTATTAAATTTTTCATCAATTAGCCTACTTTTTTTTTTTTTTTAAACTAGGAGGCAAAAACAGACCTCCATACATCCATCAGGGTCTTTGTAAACATGGAAGAGCATACTGGTCACTCACTTGTTTTGTCAATGAGATTCTGAGCCTGCTCCTCCATCCATTTCTGATAATAATCTTTCACATTTTCTTTATGTTTCCGTCCGCTGCAGTGTGTCTTTCTGACTGATGGCTGCAGAGATTAAACACACAAACAATGAACATTTCCACAGATAATAATGTCATGTTACACAGCTGAGATTAAGATCAGATTATAGAAAACGTTTAAGTAATCTTACCGAATCGTGTGTCAGGTACGTGTCACAATAATCACAATAAAACCTGAAAGAGACAAAAACAGCCCACCCTTAATTAATATACCATAGAGGTGCAAAAAGTACAGTGATGGTATTTATGATAAATACCATAGAACTAACAAAGTACCATGACTTTGTACCAGTCTTCTAGAAATCATTTGGAACATATCAATAGCATAGTTTTACCATGGAAATCATAGTAACGTTATTCATTTATTGCGTTTTGCTCTTATTGTTAAAAACTGTTTCCTACATCAAAAACGTTATTTAAACAAGTTAATCTGCATATACATAGAATAACTAGCACACTAAATTAAACATTTAATAAGCTAATTAAATGCTGGCTTAGCTTAAAGAGCTAGCTCTAGTCTGAGAAACGCTGTTGTATTTGCAGTGTGGTTTTTAAAATTCCTAAATGTATGACAGATACGGTACTTAATCTTTCACGACTAAAGTGTGTCAGTTTGTTTTGTATATATCGCATAACTACAAAATTAACATAAAGAGAGACTCACTTCGGCATCTTCGCAGCGGAACAGCGCGGGGCGAACACCACCGGAAGTGGAAGATGAGAATCCTTTTACGTCTTTGTTTGGGTTTGGAGCGAGCGCGCATGCGCACTGGCGCCACCTCGTGTTTCGGAGGGAATCTGCCCGTTTAACACGTCACACGGTCACGTTTGAGTCTGACCCCAAAATCAAAACACATTTATGTTTTCATTCATTATGGTGACAGTTAAGCTCATTTCCTCTAACATATTTAAGTTTAATGCCTCCTGACGTATAAAGCATTCTCATACCTGTACAATGACGATAAAGAGCTCTGACCTTGATTAATTCTCATTAATGTAATGAAAAAAACAATTCTGAAATATGTATAGCTTACATACATCGTGGTAGTATTTGCTTACTGTATTAATATTGTTTATAACAAAAAATCGCTCATCAAGAATAATGAAAATCACATTAATTAGCTTCAGTCCTAAAAGGCTTAATCGTCCTTATGCAAAAACTTTTTTTTTTCTTCAGGGAAATATTACCCAGACATTTTCTTGACCGTCTATTGTTTACCTTTTAAGGATCACTATTAATACTTATTTATACAAATACAAATACGTCACTTTGCAGAATATAGTTTTATTCTGGCAAAACATTTGAGAAAATATCTTAAAGCAATAGGTCTTATTCCACGTGTGAGAAACCATGCAGAGCTGCCATGAGATGTTTCACTGTGCAGCTTTAATGTTTCATGTTGTTCAGTCATTCAAAGCTACAAAGTCCCACCAAAAGCGAAACCATTAATAAAGGGCCTGCGACACAGCACAATGACGAACGGGTTGTGTCACCTTTTGTACTTTCGCATCTTATATTTTGAGCCTGGATCATGATAGTTAATATTAAGCCTTTCTATAGTGTTTTATTTTTAGTAGTCAGTATTATGTGGTCTGAACACGTTTTAGAAACAGGATGTTGCAAGGTTAATAGAAAATATACTTTTTAGGAAGTCAAAGCTCACACTTTTGAAAACCTGAGATCATAGAGTAACACAGATATTGCAGTGTCTGATTTATTGCAGAGTAAGTGAAAAAATCTAGTTGATTTCACTTGCCTCATATAACTTCAGAAGTTATATGAAGTTTTAGATTCATATATCACTCAATTACTCATTGCAAACAAATCTTGAGATACTGATTGTATCTGACAGGCATGTGGGTCAAAATCGAACGCAAAATACATTAAAGTAAACATGAGACAATAATTGCGACCCATTTTACTTCCTTAATGTGAGATTTCTGAGAGAAATAGGACATTCAATGACGGAAAAACCTTAGTAGGCAGTAACTTTTAACTTTGTGCTTTGGAATAACATGCTCAATAACATTAACATGCATCAAGAAATCAAACAGGGTCCGCTTTGATTTCATGTTGACTTAAACTCATTTAATAAACTACATTTGAAGTCAATGAAATACTGCCATTAGTAATTGTAAAAGAATGACTTGATAAAACATGAAATCCACAATTCTTTCCAAAGCAATAGGAACCATTATCCAAGTATTCAGAATTACATTGCATTTTATTTAGATAAAGATTTACACATAAGACATGATGCTTTCTGTACTTTTAAAACAGACCATCACTGTCATATTTTCAGTAGCCATCCATGAATGATGAAGAATTGGTCCTAAATAAGAATAATTACAATAGTCTTTTTGAAATGATGCTAATGCCGCCATGATGCTGATTGAGGGAAGTCGCAGGATCATCATGCGATGCAGCATGAAACCCATATGGCACATCTCAACGTCATCCAGAACAACCAAGTCACTTCTGCTCATCCTCCCAGAAAACCACCGCAGCATTAGTCAACAGGCCAGTCCTGCCGATGCGTGACCTCGTACACACCAGCTGTTGCACATCTGTCTCTAAACAGTCCTCATAGGTTGGATTTGGGTGCCGTGTTGACAGGGATGGCTCTGAGCTCTGTCCGCATGCACAAGTACTCGCCTATGACCGCCATGAGGGCCATGCAGGCCACGTTGACCAACCACCATGACAGGGCGACTGGGAGATGGGCGTTATAGATCCAGCAGCCGATCATGTGAAAGAAATGTACTGTCACGGTGAAGTCCAGACACTGCTTTCCACGTCGGATGAAAAACCACAGGCCAAGAGCGCTGAGAAAGAGACACAGAGCCAAGAATGACTTCAGATGGCAGACAAATGTGAGATAAATTATTGGAATAAGATGCCATTAATATAAACTTACCACGTGAGAGAATTCAGAATGAATGCCATCATAGACAAGCAACCCTGTGTTGTTGAAAAGCCAAGAACCTTGACAGAAAGTAAACTAGTTATTTGTAAGTCTAGGTTGACAAGACCGATTTTAGTTATCTTTATTCTGAACCCTATTTGGACAGTTACTTACCTCGTAACTGAATATCTGGTCGAGTGATCTGCTGGTATGGACCAATCCATCAACACCAGCCAACCACAGACCCAAGAAGCTGTAGTAGATGCACTGCATGAGAATAATCTGGGAGATGATGAGGATCGGATCCCAAACGTAGCTGCGGAAATGACTGGCCATCTCGCAGGAGATGAGGGGGACAAACACACGTCCCCAAACCGGCTTGATGGGAAGGTTAACAGGAGCCCCAAGATTTGAGTCTCAACCTGGCAATGACAAAATAATAACAGGGCAGGGTTCCGTTTATTCGTCAGTCCACCAGCAGGAGTACCATGAAAATACCATGGCATATCTCAAAGTACCATGGTACTTTTAGGAATGCCGTGGTACATGTGCATTATTTGTTATTAACCACGAAAACGTAGATAAGCTAAGTATACCAACCCAGATAAAGCGAAATCAATTTTAGTGAAACTAAATAACTATCGCTGTTCAGTATTATTATACAACATACGCACTAATTAGCATTCACACATTCTAAAGTCAAGAATAGTAATGTGTTATCTTTAGTATTTTACAAATATATAAACAGATGTCATTTTACACAAGTAAACACACATATAACGTTAAATCTAAATTACAACAGAAAAAATACGAACAGGCTGTTTGTTAGCATTCGCTAGCTAACCAGCGACTTTGTTGACATCCGTTTGTGAGTATTATAATGCTTTGAAAACACGAACCCCGAATAAGACACATTCGTAGTGTGATCCTGAGGTCGGTGAGGCCGCTGACAGATCGAGATTATGGATAGGTGACGCTTTATTTTAAGGCTAATAATATTATTTTCAACCGGATGCAAAACTTAGAGCCGTTGTTCAGAGCGTGACGTCATCATCTGTGTGTCTCGCGCCGCAGATTCGACACTTCAAACTTCACCGATCACCTCAAAACCGATAATCCCGCTCTTACTCTTCGATTGAAATAACTGGACAAATTATTAATTTTTTAACTGTGTTAGTAGTACCTTGAGATTTAATGTATGCCATGAATTGATATTGTTATTCGATTTAATCTTATTTCACTTACCAGTTTCACATATTTTATAATTTCATAGGCTGTGGAACATAATATAAGGCCTTCTTTTATAATTCAGTGTCATAATTCAATATTATTTAAAATTTGAAAAGAAAAAAAATGAATTTTACCTTGAAAAGCCTTGTCAGAAAGTTGAAAAGTTAATATAAGTTGAAATTTACATACCTGTGTTGGTGGAAAGCAGTTGCTGCGTGGTTGTTAAGGTGTTAAGAGTGGTTGCTAGGTTGTTGCTTAGGTGTTTTGGGTTGTTGCTACTAGGCTGCTTTTAAACATTTGCTAATGTGAGCTGCATGGTTGGTAAGAAGTAGCTAGATGGTTTCTAAGGTGTTCTGAGTGGTTGCTAGGCTGTTTATAGTCATTTTATATATTTGTCAAGCTAACATAATTACCGCTTCAAGATTTCATAAAGATACACTGGCCCTGTTGTGTTCTTGCCAGTAACATTGTGGTTTATTTTTATAGGTTTTTCCACCCGTTTACTTACTGGCATGGTGAAAGTTCACAGTTATTGTCTGTCAGTCACTTCTTCATCATAATTTGCGGTCAGTGTGCCTGCAACATATCTCACATTTGACCAGGGCTTCCTCTTGTTTCGCTTATCTCTGGGATTAGCTGTCACACTGCGGTCAATCAGTTGGTTTGTCACCTGCATGACAAACCAGACATGCTGAGCCTGAGAACTAAAACCTTTGACCCTTGTAGTACACTAGAGGGATTATATATCTCTAACCCTAACCCATACCAACATGTGTAGATCTCAGTAAATGTGTGTGATCATGATGTATTTTGATGATACACCTGTGAATCACATTATCCTAAATTCATTTTCATATTTATCTTGATGCTTTACCAGTTTGCATACAGTTTATTGGAAAAATGGCACAGCCATGCAGGCCATATTAAATGCAAATTCTTACTGTATCTTTACTATTATAAATATACAGTATCTAACTTTACATTTCAGTTAGGCTGCGTGTTATGTGAATTTGCTGTTATCATAGTTTGTTAGCTAAATCTATTGGTATTTTTATTGTAATACACAAACTCTGTTTAACGCATGTACTGTACAGGTAAAAATACTGAAAAAAGGATTATTCTCAGTCATGAAATCTAAAGAATCATCTTTAACAATAATGAGAAAATGGTAAAACATCCAGACTTTAAAGCTGTGGGTTGCCAGGGTGTTGCTATGCAGTTGCTAAGGTGTTTTGGGTGTTGTTGTTTTTTGCACGATGTGAGGTGGTTGCTAGGTAAATACTTACTGGTTTGTGTGTGTAATTTCTGCAATTATGATTGTTTTCAAACAGGTTTCCTGAAGACTCGCCTGTCCACTGTTTTAAAAAGGTATTTGTAATGAGCACAATTAACAATGGAAGGCGACTAGCCTTACACTGTAAGCTGATGAGTCGATATATCCGTATTTTAATAATCCTCTGGCCATAGAGATCTTTAGATGGATGTGTGGAGGCTTTTTAGGTCAGTTAGAATCTGCAATCTCTGACCCAGTTTGTTTGTTGGCTTCCATGGCTGCAACACGCTGTTTTGTCTGCTCTCTGGCAACCCAGGGTGTCAAAATACTATTGGTTAAATGGTC